GGAGCTCCATGCAGACTGGCGGCTCGGATGCTGGTCCTATTTGCTGATGCTGTGCATTGCTGGGCGTTCCCAGACTACTCGCGGGCCATGTGGCGAGCGAGCGACCACAGCTGCGAGTCTGCGACGCGACGCAATGGGCGGGGCGGGGCGAGGCGGGGCGGGGCGGGGCGGGGCGGGGATTGTGTTGTTGAGGAGTGAGATGGTGCGGGTGCGAGCAGATGGTGCGGAGTGACCAGTGCTGCTTGAAACCTGATGAGACTTGGTGACGGTGATGGTGAGTTTCAAGGAGGTCCAGCCATGCCATGCCATGCCCTAGCCTCTAGGTGTAATCACTATGGCGAATACAGTCAACCAAGGACAGTCTCTGTATCATACCTACCTTAGCTGTATCGCCAGGCAGCTTGCTTGTCCGCTAACCTTATCAAGCCCCAGCTAGCTTTTAGTGGACTAGCCTCTTCCGAAAACGGCTGGAGGCGGCTCGCCCCATGGCGCTGACGAATGGCTGTCTTAGTTCTACCATTCTGTTTTGATTCGTCGGAGCACTCCTCTGACAATACCAGTGCAGTAGCCTACGGGAGCAATACAAATGTCTATCGTTCTCATTCTCATTCTCCTGTTCATTGCATCCATGGCCCCGTCTCTATCCCAGACCGATATTATCAGATTCGTGATCGGAGCCCTTTTCGGCGGCCTCTTGAACAGTGGCATAAACGCAGCTTGGTCAGTCTGCTATCTAGCCAATAACGACTATTGGATGCAGCGTGTGCGAGAGGAGATCGATGAAGTCGCGGAGCGTCACTGCCGAGACCATTCTCTCCCACTGAAGGATCGCCTCATGAGAGTACCAATAGAAGCCTGGGAGACTGAATTTCCTATGATCGATCTGTGTCTGAAGGAGTCGATTAGGTTGCAGCTCAAAGGGACTGATTTTCGCCAAAATCTCACCAACCAAGAGATTGCCATCAACAAGCGAGGAGAGGTCATCCCGCCAGGTGCCTACGTTGCGATTGCCACGGCTGATATTCATTACGATCCGAACATCTATCCTGAACCTGAACGCTTTGATCCTGGGAGATACTTGCCAGACAGAGCCGAGGACAAGAAAGAGCAATATGGCTGGATGGCCTGCTTTTCCCATTTTGAGAATGTGCCAATATATCACAGGTCTGGCTCGACACCCGTGTGTGGTCATGAAATTCGCTAAACTTGAGAAGAACATCATCGTTGCATTCTTCCTCGCGTACTTCTCAGACATCCAGCTTGCCGACCAAACGGGTCAGCCAAAGGCAGAGGTCTCACGCACAGATCTGAACCGCCACAGCGCGAGCAAGCCAGAGACGCACATGTTTCTGAGGTACCAAGTACGGCAGGACTAGCCGTTGAACACGGGTCTGGCCTCTTCAGGCACTCAAAACCGGCATTTTGCTGCGGATCAAGAGGAAAATTAAGCTCGAGACTGAAGCGAGTGCCGCACGAAGGCAAACGAGGTACTACAGCACAAGAGGCAATCTCTTTGGCTTATAAGGGATCGACGCTAGCCAATGGCCTCGCTTATTAGCTTTACCGAATAAACTAGAAAAATCGACCTCGACTTACGACTTCATTTAATTATAATACCTTAGGTAGCCCTTTTATATAACTAATCCCTAGGATTTGTAATCGAGATCTAATACTCTAGTAAAACGGAACTCTACGAATATCGAAATTAAGTACCCCGAGCTATTTCCTATAAATATATAAACTACTTGTTACGCTAGACATATTTACGATCGTTTTAAGGCCTTTAGTTTCGTAAACATTAGATAGGTAAAGTACTTTATATAGAGAAGGGACCGAGGATATTAACTTTAAAGTAGTACTAGAAGTTATCGGCGGAGATTCTAATAATTGCCTTCTATTCTCCTAGGTAGCTAGTATTACTTATAAGGAGATCTAGACTATCCTCTATTTTCGAGCGTAGCTATAATCCTATTAGCGACTCTACTTAGATAGAGGATCGCTAGAGCTTTAGCGAGGATACGCCTATATAACCTCTCCGGAAACATACCTACTTAGCTACCTCGATAGTACTCTACTTCTTAGTTATATCGAGCCTTAACTTTAGAACGTATAGTATTAAGCTTTTTAGAGGCTCTAGTAGTATTAAGAACTTCTTATTCTACGGACTTTAGGGCGCTTTAACCCGCAAGTATAATTCTTAAGCAGCCTACTCCGGTATAGCTAACTGCCTACTAGTATCTCCGCTTAGACTAGTAACAAAGGGTTGTTAGTATAGCTAACTATCTATATAACAACTTAGCTGCTATAAACTACTATAGCTAAATAAACTCCTATATAGACTATATATTACCCTTTATTACTAGTCTAATCCGTTTCTATCGGGATTTAGTAGGCGTATATAGATAAAGCGACCCGAATTTCTTTTTTTTCGAAGAAAGAATACGTAATACCTAGACTAAAATTCGAAATCCGCTATAGTTATAGTTAAATACTTTATATAAACTAATTATCTTTTAACTACTCGCAACAATAGCAGCGAACAATTAGAGACGAAGGGAAGACAGTTAAGAAGGAAGGGAGGACGAATAGAAAGCACTATATACGAGGGCAGAGGAGGTGCTAAAGGCGGAAGATAGAAGAACCCCTAAGAGGGTATATAGGATAATAATCTCAGAACTCCTTAGAGGACTGAAAGCAATCTATAACTAGGTAAGCTACGTAATTACAAAGGTAGCTAATATAGTCGTAGCAAAGATTACGAAGAAACAATAGGAGACAAGCCTAAACTACCGCACCTAGGTAGCAGTAGCTAGTTAGGAGGCGCTAAAACCCCCGAGGACAGTAGTTAGAGTCTACATTACGGACCTATAGGAGTAAAAGGAAATCTAAGGACTTATAGGAAAAGAGATTGTAGAAAGAATTACAGTTAAAGAGGTAATTAGGGCTAGGAACGAAGGTAAAGGGGTAATCAAGCTGTTTATAGTATAAGAGTAGGACAAAAAGAAGCTAGAAACACAAAAAGAATAGACAACTAAGATAGGGAGAATAGCAAAGGTCTCCTAACAGCAATTCATAATTATAGCCTATAGTATAATAAGAAGCTTTAAGGAAGAATAGGATATTAAGAGCCTATAGAGACAAAACCAAGCTATATACCTAGGCCTAAAGATTATAAAAGTGGCATAGATTAAAAGGAAAATCGAAGAGACTAAGAAGCAGTCTTCCCTAATTATCTAGGTAGGGAGTGCAGAATAAGCTAATATAGTGCTAGACTAGGGGTTGTTCTAGGACTTTAAAAGATTAGAAACAGAGATATATAGAAGCAACTATAGGATAATATAGTGCTTCAAATGTTAACACTATAGATACTTAGCAGCTAAGTGTATAAAGACAACCGATACCTACTCCTATTATATAAAGGATTACTAGGTCAAAGAATGTAAAGCATATAAGGGAGAAGCAAGATATATATACTGTACTAAAAGATACCCCTCTTAGGCAAAGGAATACCCTATAAGAATATAGGCAGCTAGGGAGGCAAAAGGAGCCAGAATTAACATACTAAAAAGATATATAACAAGCTAGGGCAACTAGGTACAGAAGCAACCTAGCTAAGTGCTACAAAAGAGGTCTAGGTAAGATAATAGGTTCACATTTAGGGCCTTACTAGCACAAGAGAGCTACTAGCAACTAGGGAGACCAAGATACCTTAACATTACAGGAAAGGAAGCAGGGCAGACAAAGCTTAGTCAAATATTAGTCCAAAGTAAAGGAAGACTAAAGGAAAACTTATAGGGAAATAAAATGGATAAAACCTAATAAATATTGCAACATTACTAAACATTATATAGTATAATGTTAATAAGAGTAAAGACAAGGTATAGAGGAGCTTCCTTTAAGCACTAAACCTAAAAGAATACTATATTATTGCAATCTAAGAGCCCTAGCTTAACCTATATATAAAGAGACTAGTAATAGTTAAAGACCTAAGATACTACCCAATTATCTACAACTAGGGAGCCCTAAGGATATATATCTATATTAGCAAGGAGATAGATATAGAAACCTAGTAGGCTATACTATAGGAGGATAGGGACCTAATATTAGTTTAAGTAGAGATATCCTAAGGTACACTCTAAGTCTACTGTATATACAACCCACTACTAGACTTAAGAAGCAGTACCTAACTAAAAACCCTAGAAAGACTACCTAGAGTTATCTAGGGGAACACCTACTAAATCCTACTTAGGGATTTCAACCTCTACTACCCCCTCTAGGGCTTAGACTTTACCCTAGCTTACTACTTCCTAGTAGGAAGACTAATTGATATATTAGAGAGGGAAGGAATAGAAATTATTACCCTAAAGGGACTAATTACTTAGGAGGCAAGAGGAAGTAGCAGTACACTAGACCTATACTTTGCATTATATTAGATTAGGAACAGGATTATAAGATGCAGGGTCAACTAGGAACTAGAAGAATTATTAGACTACTTCCCGGTACAGATTGAGCTAAATGTCTAAGCTAATTAGGAAAGGGAACTAGAGGAGAAGCTTAACTAGAAAGGTGCCTAATAGGGCAGGATTAGGGAGGAACTAGAAAGGGACCTAAAACTAGAGGAACTCTTAATAAAGCACCTACTAAGGCTAGAGGATATTAATAAGGCAGTAGAAGAACTAATAGGAATCCTAAAACAGGTAGCTAGAAAGCATACCCTAGCAAAGAAACATTCACTATACTAGTAGCTATACTAGACTAGTAAGTATATAAGGAAGGTTAAAGCAGTAAGGAAGGCTAGGAGGTAGTAGACACAAACCTATACCTAGGAAGTATAGGACAACTACAATAAAGCCTACTAGGAAAAGAAGATCTAGATTAAGAAAGACAAGATACAAGAATAGAGATCTATAATAGGAATAATTACAAAGAAACTAGAGGAGATATAGAGGATAGCTAAATAAGCAAGGAGACCTAAATAGGATAAGGATATACTACTATAATTCCCGGACATTATAGACCAATAAGGACAAATGTAGACTATAATAGAAGGGAAAGCAAGAGCCCTAGGCTAACACTTCTTCTATAGAAAAGTATAAGCAGACCTATTAGATATAAAGGAGAAAGAACAAGAGACTCTACTACTAGGCATACTAAGAGACACCTAGGTTAAACCCGAAACTATTAAAAGGATCCTAAAGAAAATTCTAGGCAATAAGGCACTAGGAGAAGACAAGATCTATAACAAACTTCTAAAAGTATATAGGAAGGGGCTAGCCCTAGCACTAGCTAATATCTTTTCACAAAGCCTAGTACTAGGATACTACCTAAGACTATTTAGGAAGTCCCTAATAGTAGTGCTAAGGAAGCCCTAGAAGGAAGACTATATATAGCTCAAGCCCTACAGACTAATAGCCCTACTTAATATAATAGGCCAGGTGCTAGAAAAAATTGTCGCTAAAAGGCTAATAACCTTTACCGA